GTTACTACTTGATTAAGTTTAACCGGTGTTTTCGCCGATTTAGCAGTGCCCGTCCTTGGCGGGAGACGTGTCTCGCCTGTTCTGTTTTCGTAGGTGTTGTGTTCTGATTTGGACACAACCGGTTTGAAAACCGGAGACAGATTTTGGCATTGTGCAAGATATGGCTGTAAATGAGGATGTCTTAACAATTCTGCAGCCTGGAAAGAACATTTTACAGTTAGTAGAAACAGCGCAAGCAAGCCGCAAAAGAAGAAACTAATGTGGAACTCATCAACTCACAGTTGGTCTATGTTCAGGGTTCTTGCGCAACATACTTTTAATCAGTCTTTTTCTGCAAAACATATTTGAAATTCATAACATTAACCCTCAGAGCTTGTTTACAGTAGTACTAAACTAAATGTATGTGTATACTTACAATGAAGAGGAATACATGACCGGGAGAGGAGAAAGCGAAGAGCGGTTAATCTTGTTGATGAGTCCAGCCATGTCCTGTTTGCAAACAAGAAAATTTTCAGAAGCTTGAAAAGAATTTCAGATTTAACACGACGAAGCTGAGAAATCTTCATACAGGAGCCTTGAAGGCTGGTTGATGTGCAGCTACTTCAAACATACAACAACCTGTAAAACCAAAATCTTTGTGAGAAACCAAGAACAATATAATCAAAGAAACCAGAAGTTTTGTAAGTTAAGGAAAAGTATGAACCTAAGGACCAAATATCAGATTTGTAGCCATAAGGTATATCTGCAAGAAGTTCAGGGCACATGTAGTTTGGTGTTCCCACAATCTACAAAAACCGAAAGAATGATTCAGAAAAACTTCGGCGAAAAAAGTATAAATCTCAATTGAATATGAGCATTACCGAGGAAGCAAGATCTTCTTTGCCTAGAAGTTTTGCAAGGCCAAAATCACCTGAAAGAAAGAGACATTTTCGTGAAAGATGATCTAAAACAGCTTCCTAAGAGGAAACAAAGAGAGCACAGAATTCTTTACCGAGTCGAATCTCGTTTTCTTTGGTGAGGAATATGTTGGAGCACTGGAGAATTTGATTTGCAATGTTAATGAATACTCTGTTCCATTGAAGCAAAAGAAGCATTGAGAGTAATAGAAGTTGAATTACCTTAAGGTCACGGTGAAGTACTCGATTGTTATGGAGGTAATCTATAGCCAACAGTAGCTGTACCATCCATCTGCAGAGTTTCTACAGAGAAGACAAAAGATCATTCTTAGTTAGATTCAATACCAATTCATCACTCTTTTAGACTAAACAGATTCCTTAGTGATTGCTTACTTCTTCGGACGCGAATGTTCCTCTAGCTTTCTTTATCATTTGAGTCCTGCATTTACCAAAACCAGTTATTAGATAAACCACTAGAGAATAGTAATCAAGAACCATAGAATTGGAGTCTGAAATGATTGCCTTACATGTCTCCACCCTCACAATAACTAGTCACAATGCATACACAATCCTGAAACCAATAGAAAACCCCCCAAATAGTTAAGAATCTCCTGCGGATTTTGCGCTTGATTACGAGCTTTGAACAAGAATATATCACCTTCTCAACCCATGAATCTTTGTACTCCACAATATATGGACTCTTAAGCTTTGATATCAAACCCATCTGCATCCATCAGAAAGACCAAAAAACACATTTTGATATTTCAAGAAACCATAGTTAATAATCAAGATCACAAGTAAAAAGCTTGACCTCTTGTATCGCAGCAAGCTTGCATCTCTCAGTTTGTTTAGCCAAACGAATCTTCTTCACTACATACCTACAAAGAAGAATCCCATAGATTTGATCTCAAACCAGATCAGAACAAGAAATAGACAAACTACAAACTCAAATATTGAGATCTTTTTCTTCTTCTTTAACTCACCTTCGTCTCTCGGATTTGTGAACTACAAGAAAAGCAGAACCAAAAGCGCCTCTTCCGATCTGTTCCACGACTTCATAATCATCCATCTTCGAAGCGGTTTCACTTACTTTGTTTGACATCTTTGAGATCTCTTTCTCTGTCTGGTTTTAAAAGGATCAAACTTTCACAAGATTTAACTGTTCAATGGAGCCTATAAGATTCATATAAAAGCCATGAGCATTAAATGTTTGTATGAGAATCAAGAATTAAAGGATCAGGCAAGAACACGTAAAAAAAAAAATGGGACCCTTTAAACCAAATTTTGATTTTGAAATATCGTGATGAAGAAAGTTTCTTAATTTTCTTTTCTCTTTTTCTTCTTTTGAACAAGATGGGGAGGGAAGATTTGAAGATGAAGCAAAGAAAAGGTCAGAGAAAGTGAGGGAAAATTATTTAAATGAAAAAAAAATCAAAAAGAGAGGAATTGAAGAAGATTCAATGGACAGGTAAGACGACCAAAGCAATTTTGCTTGAGATTTCAGACTGTTGTGGTTGACATGTTTGTTGTTATTATTACATTTTAGTGATTTTTTAAATTTTATTGTTGATAAGTCTCTTTCATACTTTTATACTTTTAGACAAAAAAACATTCTCTGAGTTTATTTTGTTTTATTATCATCCTTTGGGTCGTTAGGAACCTTTTTCTTAAAAGAAAATTGGGTATTATTTATTTATTTGACCCAAATGTGAAATTCATGACTCTTGTTACACTATTTTACCAACCAAAGAAAAGCTGTACAGTCTCAACTCTCAAGATCTCCTCTTAGTGTTTTGGTTGGACCATATCTTAATTTTTTTGGTTAGAAGTTATAACAACCAAATTATAACATGTTATATAATGAAGTGAATCTTTCATAATAAATACATTTTGACTATATATTTGGATATGTAAGGGGTTTAGAAGATTAGACCACTACAAGAATTAATGAGTATTGCCACAGAACTTTTCATGTCAAATGCCCAAAATCTGTTGCAATATAGTCATTTGGTTGGCCTTTTTCCAAAAAAAAATATAGTCATTTGTTACATATTGCCACAAAAAAAAGTGGTTGCAGTGTTGTGGTAAATTTGGCCGGAAAAAGACATTTACCACGATAGCTTTACCGGAAAAAGACGCCATGTTTGGCCGAAAATATGTTGTGTAGCAACTTTGTCACAATCCACAAAAGTTAATTTG